GGAGAAGCGCGGAACCCCGCCCGGTGCCCCTGGTCTGCTGGAGACGGTCTCCAGCAGACCAGGGGCACCAGAGCAGCTTACGAACGGGGCTCTCTCGCCCCGGAGCTCGCAGGTAGCAATCCGCCACCTCGACCTCCGGGGCGAGAAAGCCCCATTCGTAAGTGCGGATCCGACATAAGTCGGATCCGCGTAAGTCGGGGACTGCCTGTATATTTAGGCATATAACAATGGAGGTGTTCTCATTTGCACCAGTCTCATGCAGAGTCTAGTAAAGAGGTATTATAGGTGTTGTAAACAGGGCATTCCCGCTATAAGTCTCCCCGTATACATCTGTTCCTTGCTGAAGTCGTTGACACTTGTAGGAACTGATATAAGTCTTCCCATTCCCCGCTCTTAAATCGCGGAAAAAACCCCAACCAATTTGCTTAAATGGAAGTAAGTTGCGGGAAAAAATTCCCCGCTTTATGTTGTTACTCTGTAAGTCCAAGATTTTTGGAACGTATCTTGGACTTATAGCGACGACGGCCTGTATCATCAAGCTGCCTTACCATCTTTTGCCTGTTGTCAAAATAAATCTGTACTAAATATTCAGTGTTTATATTTTGAAATGCAGGGGCAGATGACCATTTTGCGGGGCCCAGGACAGCCCAATTTCACGGGGCCCCCCTTTGCCACGGCGCATGTGCGGGGCTTCTTGAAGCGTGGGGCCCGGGGCAGCCGCCCCGCTCGCCCTACCCTATATCCGCCCCTGTTAAAATGTGTCACTGATGTGTTTTATATGAAGGTTCAGATATTGACATTCTGCAAAATATTCTTTGGTAGGACATGTACTCTGCTTTCCGTAAAGCAGATAGTAACCATGATGGTATCATCAGCATGCTTGATCTTCGAAGCCTCCTGGAGAGCTTTGTGTTCATCCTTACAAATGAAGAGTATTCACGCCTACTTGGTATATTGGGCCTGAACCTGAACTCCACATTAAATTACCACGAATTCGTTCAACTGTTCCAGAACCAAGAAACTAAAGAGGTACATCCTTGGCTGAATCCATCTCACAAGTAAGACTGACAGCAATATTATTGATCTTATACATGTATAGAAATGAAAAATCATAGAAATGTAGGTCTGGAAAGGCCCTAAAGAGGTCATCTAGTCTTTCTTATATGCTGAAGTAGGGCCAATATACCTATTCTCTCCCTGACAGGCATTTGAATAATCTGCTCTTAAAAAAAGATTTTTTAAAATTTTTGTCTAACCTGTTCTTAAAAATAATGGAGCTTCCACAACCTCTGTTGGGAACCTATTATAGTTCTTAAATATCCATGTAGTTTGTTTTTTGCTAATATAGAACTTAAATATCCTTTGTTGCAGATTAAAGTAATTATTTCTTGTCTGACCTTCAGTATGGCTGGAGAACAATTGATCATTGTTCTCATTTAACAGCCCTTAACATTTTTCAAGACTGTTATCTGGTCCCCCTGCGTAACTCTTCTTTTCTCAAAATTAAACACCAATTTTTTTAACATTTCCTTATAGACCAGGTTTTCTAAACCTTTATCATTTTGTTTGTTGTCCTCTGGATTTTCTTCAATTTTTCTATATCTTTTTGAAATCGTAGCACCCAAAACAGCACTCAGTACTCCAGATGGGACTTCACCAGTGCCAAGTAGAGTGGAACAATTATCTCCTCTGCCTTACATATGACAATCTGGTTAATATACTCCAGACTGATTTTAGCTTTTTTTGCACCTGCATCACATTGTTGGTTCATATTTATTTGGGATTCACTAAAATCCTCTGTTTTTTTCCTGCAGTACTACTGCCTAACCAGTTATTCCCCATTTCATAATTGTGCATTTGATTATTTCCTCCTAACTACACTTTGCACTTATCTGTATTAAATTTCATCTTCTTGATTTCAGTCCAGTTCTCCAATTCATCAAGGTCATTTTGAATTCTAATCCTATCCTCCAAGGTGTTTGCAACTCCTCTCAGCCTGGTGTCATTTGCAAATTGTATACATGAACTGTCTGAGACATTAATGAAAATTTTGAATAGTAGTAGACCCAGGATAGAGACCCTGTGGAACCCCACTACTTATATCTTCCCTGTTCAACAGCAGACCATTAATAATTACTATTTGAGAAAATATAGTATGCAGGCTCCTATTATATAATATTGAAAAACATCAGTATCTTAATATAATGCTGCAATTTGGGGTTGTGAAGTTCTTTTAAATCCTCATGATTTAGGACCCAGTTCTGCAAGGTACTTAAGCATGTCAGTCGTCCACGGGACTGCTGCATGCTTAAAGTTAAGCACATACATTAAATGCTCTACTGAACTGAGTCTTAGATTCCAGTTACTTTTACGGATGTAAGAGACCAGTCGACTAGTGATGTGACTAGTCACTTCCGCCCCCTTGCTGCATCTATTGGAGAGAGGCAACAAGTGAGGAGAGCAGGAGCTGGTGCAGGGGGAGCTGGCTGAAAAGCAAGTTGCACCAGCACCATCTCTGCGGAGGGGCAGGGGAGGTAGAGGCACAGTGGAAATGGAGTGAGTGGGGGCTGAAGCAGTCTCCTCTAGCGCTGCTTCTACGTTGACTCTGCAGAAGCCCCGCAGGGAGCATGGGGCCACTGGGGAGTCCCCCGCTGGTTCTGCTCTCCCTGCGGGGCTTCTGCTTTTGAAATGTACAAGAGCCCCTGGGCTCTTCTACATTTCAAAGGCTCAGGTACCCAGAGCCGGCCCAAGTTACGGGCCTACTGGGGTACTGCCCAGGACACCCCATTGTAGGGGGCGCCATGCCACCACGCATGCGCCGCGCATCTGGGGCGGTGCCACACATGCGCCTCGCACCGGGGGGCGGGGCCACGCATGCGCCAGGACCCGGGGTGCACGAATGACTCAGGCTGGCCCTGCAGGCACCTCAGGGAGCATAGGCCCAACGAGTCTCCTGCTGGCCCCATGCTCCCTGTGGGGCTTCTGCTTTTGAACTGTAGCAAGAGCCCAGCAGGGCACTTGCTACAGTTCAAAGGCGGATGTGCCCTTATAGACTAATCAAATAATCAATGGAAATCCCATGGAGTATTTGATTGGTTAATTAATCTAAATTTAACATCCCTAGTTACTTTAGAGATCAAAGGCTGGATTTTGAGCTGCATTTTGTATGCATTGCAGAATAGGAGACAGAGCCCAGGAGGGGCCAAAAGCTGGTTATATGTCTCCTTTTTGTACCCTTCCCCAATTCTGTGCTGTTCCAGGGACCAGTGTGGTTCCTCAGTATATATTAGAGCAGCCTAGGGGTTGTCCTAACTTAGCAGTACCTGAACTGGCACCGTATGACACCTCCTGACAACCCATCATAGCTTAAATGCAGAGTACTCTGATCACACTTATGGCATACCCATATGCCAGGGACTGCTTGAGGGAATGGGCAGAAGTCTTCTAGGGGAATGAGCTGGCATGCCAGCCCTTTTATACTGCCAGAGCTTTGTAAATGGATTAGATCAGTTGTGACACTTTAGCTAAGTAAACAACCTGTTGTGTGACAGAGTACAAGGGCACTAGGGGAGCTACAACAGCATCAGGAAGATGGCTTTTTCTTTCCCCCTCTTAAGAGTAAAATTGTGTGTCTGAAGAGATTGAACATTTTAAAAATTTGGCTCTATCTTTAAAAATAATTATCAGGTACTTCAGATTCCTTCTAAGTATTGAATTAGAAAAGAAGCCATCCTCAGTTGAACTACACAGAGATAAATTAATATAAGTAATGACAAGACAGAGAAGAACCACAACATCTAATCAGCAAATCAGCTCAGCTGTGGATTTTAAGATACGACACGTGCAACTTCTCAGTTTTAATTTGTCCACTATAGAATTACTAATGGTTCTGACATTACTAGTATTATCAGCTGCTTTTTTATTAATTGTACAACTGAGAAAATCAAGTACATGATTTGAAAAGGAAGAAAGAGCCTGGGGATCATTAGTGGGAAGCTGGTAACAGTAGAATTCATGACAAATGAATGTTTCCCTTTCATTTCATGTCAGCACTAGAATGTGTTGGGTGGAGCTAAAAGATGCTCTCATTTTCAACAGAGTAACAACAGTTATTGATTAGAACTGGGGACTGATACCACTTTCCTCCAGCAACTGTGTATCATAATGAGGCTAAGCCACCAGGAGGAGCTAGCAGTCAGTGGACTGCAAACAAGGGAGTTTTTAGAAAGGATTCCTAATACAGTCACAATAGTTGGGAAGGGCCGCATTGATTGTTCCAATGCTGTTCTTGTCTCCTCTATCTGTGCCTGTATTCAGACAGACAACTCAACCATGGATGCCTCTACCCAGATCCTGGTGTGGATTTGCAGAGACTGTGGCTTGCATTTCCCACTGATGGAAAATCAGGCTGGAGGCACCCTCCAAAGTGAAAGGTGCCTGCTGGTGGAATCTCTTAGGAAGCAGGTGGGAAAGCTTCAAGAGGAGGTGGCCAGGTTTAAGAGCATCTGTGTCCATGAGGAATCCCTCGAGAGTATTCATGTGGAGACATCCAAGGCTGAGGAGGCATGCTGCCTGTCAGGGGCTTGTATCAAAGACATTACAGAGTAATTGTCAAGGCTCATTCAGCTCTCTAAATACTCCCCCATACCGCTCATCCATGTGGGCACTAATGATACTGCGAGGGATGACCTTCAGCAGATCAGAAGTGACTGCAGGGCTCTGGAAGTATGTGTGAAGTAATTCAGAGGCACAGGTGGTGTTCTCTTTCATCCTTCTGGTCAAGGATCCAAAGCACAGGATTTGGGGATAACAGTGGACTTCAGCTACTCAGACAGGAGACAGATGCATCCTGGAGTAGGGCTGTAAAAGAGTAGTCGACTACCCAATAAGGTAATCGAGTTCACTACTTGCATTCCCTCCCCTCTTGTTGCCTCTATATCATAACTGGGGGGAAGTAGGAGCTGGTGCTGGTGGGAGCCGGCTTAAAAGCTGGTTCCCTCCAGCACTGTCTCCATGGTTGGGGGAAGGAGGGAGGAACAGGGGAGGCAGAGACACAGTGGGGATAGCAAGTGCTGCCCTCCTCCCTTATCGAGTAATCGAGTAGTTGATGGAAATTCCATCAACTACTCGATTAGCTGATGAATTGAAATTTTACATCCCCATGCTGGAGATGAATGCCTGGCTGCAAAGATGGTGTCACCAGAAGATCTTCAGCTTCCTTGACCATAGGATGCTGTTCCAGGAAGAAGAACTTGTAAGCAGAGATGGGGTCAACCTATTGAGGGAAGGGGAGGAGCATATTTGAATATAGATTGGCTGAGTTAGTGAGGAGGGCATTAAACTAGATTAGATGGGGAAAGTGACCATAGTCACAGGTAAGTCAAAAGCATGGAGACCTGGAAGAAGGGTCAGAAATAGGTGGGAGCATGAGCCATATTAGCAGGGGAAAAGGAGATGCATGACATAACTGGGGGGAGAAATCAAATCAGTATCTTAGATGTCTGTATATTAAGGCAAGAAGCATGAGGAATAAGCAGGAAGAACTTGAAATGCTAGTAAATAAACACAACTGTGACATAGTTGGCATCACAGAGACTGGTTGGGATAATACATATGACTATAATATTGGTACAGAAGAAAGGAAGGTGATAGGCAGGGAAAAAGGTGGAGGTGTTGCTTTATATATTAAAAATGTATACACTTGAACTGAGGTTGAGTTGGAAATAGTAAACAGTCTTGTTGAAAGCCCCAAGCTAAGAATAAAAGGGGTAAAAACAAGGGTGATGTCATGGTAGTGGTCTACTACAGATCACTTAATTAGGAAGAAAAGGTGGATGAAGCTTTTTTTTAAACAACCCACAAAATCATCCAAAGCAGAGGACTTGAGCGTGACGGAGGTCTTCAACTACCCAGACATCTGTTGGGAAAGTGTCATAGCACTAGTAGGGCACAAATTATCCAAAAAGTTATTGGAATGTATTGGAAATAATTTTATATTCCAGAATGTGGAGAAAACCACTAGAAGACAGGCTGTTCTAGATTTGATTTTGATGAATAGGGAGGAACTTGTTGAGAATTTGAAAGTGGAAGTGATCAAGCGAAAGTGGTCATGAAATGGTAGAGTTCATGATTGTAAGGTGTGGTAGGAGGGAGAACAGCAAAATAAAGACAATGGATTTCAAGAAGGCAGACTTGAGCAAACTCAGGGAGTTGGTAGGTAAGAGCCCATGTGAAGCAAGTCTAAGAGGAAAAGCAATTGAACACAGCTAGCAGTTTTTCAAAGAGATATTATTAAGGGTACAAGAGCAAACTGTCCCACTGCATAGGGTAGAAAGTATGAGACCACCCTGACTTACCCAGGAAATCTTGAATGATCTAAAAATCAAAAAGAGTCCTACAAAAAGTGGAAATTAGGTTAAATTACAAAGGATGAATATAAACAAATAATACAAGTATGTAGGGGCAAAATTAGAAAGGCCAAGATGCAAAACAAGATCAAACTAGCTATAAACATGAAGAATAAAATGAAAACATTCTGAAAATACATTAAAAGCAAGAGGAAGACCAAGGACAGGGTCCTTTATTGGAGTCACTCCAGGTCTTGTGATATGCTACTAAATTGTTTTTGTTTTTTAAGGTAGTTAACATTTCCTTCTAGTCTGAATAAATGATCCGTGTTTGCTATTAAGTCTGCAGGCAAGTTGAACAACATTGATCTGAAAATAAACAGGGAATTACAAAATTTAAGATGTCTTCCCTAACTTGCAGCTGGGGAAATAAGGCAGTATTTAAAGAATTAAGTTTACACAGATGTGAAATAACAGTCTTTAACGGTTTCTTAGAAACTAAAACAAAACCCGAAAAACCTCCACAAACTTGTGAGAGATTAAAGATTCCATTAACAGTTCGTTATTATTTAATTTTGCTTTCTTAGACCAAAACAGACAATAACGGATGCAGAACTAGCTTGTGATCAGGCTCATTACTATCTTGTTATCAAAGCACAAACCAGATGGCATGACCTCGCAAGGGTAAGAAAAACATTTTCATTAAATAAATAAGCTGCACTAATGGATTTAAGAACATTATGCAATGTTGATCTTCAGATTATCTAAATATTCAAAAAAAGCATTCGCAAAATAGCTCATTAATGATAAAAACTTATCTGTGTAAAACTAAACTTCTGGAGTATGTGATTTTTAAAAAAATTAATGATTTAGTTTCTACTAGGATTGTTCTAAAATTTTATTTATATTGCTGTTGTTATTTATTATTATTTATTATTAAATCTCTGTGTTCTAATAGTATCAAGAGGCCCCAGTCATGGATCACGGGACTCATTGTGCTAAGCATCGTACAGACACACACACAGAGAATTTGAAGTGCAAAATGCAGTCCTTATTAATAGAGCTCTGCACATCGGCGGATACCCACTTTATATCCACGGGTATCTGCATCCGTAGATGTGGGTGTAGATATCTGCAGATCATTTTTGCTGATTGCGGGTCAGATGCAGAAACAAACTTTGTATATAGAACCCTACAGATTTGTAGATACCTACTTTATATCCACGGATATCTACAGCTGCAGATGTGGATATCCATGGATCATTTTTGCAGATGCATATATAGATTTTGTATCCATGCGGGGCTCTACTCATTGGGTACGTCTAGACTACATTCCTCTGCCAACAGAGGCATGTAGATTAAACTACCTGACATAGTCAATGAAGTGGGGATTTAAATATCCCCCACCTCATTAAAATAAAAATGGCCACCGCACTGTGCCGGCTCAGCTGATCATCGGCACAGCGTGGCAGTCAAGATGCGGATCGATTGACAGGGAATGCCTTTGTCGACCAGTCCTGTAAACCTCATTTCACGAGGCATAAGGGAGCGGTTGACAAAGGTGTTCCCTGTCGACCAATCTGCACCTTGACTGCCGCGCTGTGCCGGCGATCAGCTGAGCCGGCACAGCACAGTGGCATTTTTATTGTATTGAAGCGGGGGATATTTAAATCCCTGCTTTATTGACTATGTCGGGTAGCCTAGTTTACATGCCTCTGTCGGCAGAGGCATGTAATCTAGACATACCCATTATGACAAGCAGGGGGTGCCAAATTATCAATAATTATATCAAGATAAACATAAACAATCTTAATAAAAACTAAATAATTAAATGTTTGCATATCTGAATTAGTCAAACAGTTACTGCACACTCTGAAGATAGTGGGGGGCAGTGTAGCTAGTAGTGGATTGAGAAAAGAACGAATGGGGAGAGTAAACTTCATTACTTTGTTACTTAAAATTTGCAAGATGAGCCTGCACTGCAGCAAGTAAGGAATGCTTTCTATTAGTTCATGGCACAATAAGCTGTAGCCAGCTTCTGCAAAATTGGACACCTCTGTGTGGATTTTCAATCTCTACTTTCCACCTCTGTGCATCAAGATTCATAAATGCACATACCTGTATGTATGTTTTTGATGCTCAAATCCTAGTGCACACAATTGATAGGAGTTTCATATATAAAACACATCATCAGCACACATGTGTTACTCCACCAAGAGAGCCATGCACACAGTGAAGCTGATAAAACGTTTTAAAATTGGAATTAACCTTCATTTAATTTTTCCTTAATTCCTAATGCTTATAAAGAGATCAAGTATTTTGTAAAGCCCGTTGGCTCTTGTTATTATTAAAAGTTCTTAAATTCTAGACTTTCCGTGAGTTCGATAGCAAAGGCAATGGCATTGTGCAGCCAGAGGATTTGAGAGCTGTCTTGTTCAGATTTGCCATTCCCATCACTCCAAAAGAATTTGAAAAGCTTTGGGCAAGGTAAGGTGGCTCTGAATATTACTTCTCCTGCAGCAGTGCATCTATTTAACTTGACACATGGGCCTTATTGAGGATAGTGAATTACATTTGTTTACTTTCTAAGGGTATGTTCCTAATTCGAACTAGGGCTGCAAATTTGTAGGCATGCAGAATTGCAAATCAAGCCCAGGATTTAAATATCCCATGCTTGATATACATCTTCCCGGCCACTTTTTTGTTAGTCTTTAAAGTGCTACATACCCGTTTCACTGCTGCATGTAGATGTGGGCAGTTACTTCAGGCTTGTAAATTTCAAAAAATGGCACCCGGCCGGGAAGATGCAAATCAAGCGTGGGAAATTTAAATCCTGGGTTTGATTTGCAATTCCGAAGCCTACATTTGCAGCCCTAGTTCGAATTAGGCTGCAAATGCGGACGTACCTTAAGAGAGACTTGACTTATTTTATTATGTTGATATCGACTCATCATGATGCCGTCAAAAATAGAGGATTTTATCACACTAAGATCACTATCGCAATAAGGTGAATGCCTAATCAGTTCTCAGTAAAGTCATAGTCTAATTTCTATTTGGTTTAATGCATTTACCTGTCCTCTTTAATTTAATAGAAAGGTAGCTGTGTTAGTCTGGTCTAGCTGAAATAAAAAACAGGAGTATGTAGCACTTTAAAGACTAACAAGATGGTTTATTAGATGATGAGCTTTCGTGGGCCAGACCCTGGCCCAAGAAAGCTCATCACCTAATAAACCATCTTGTTAGTCTTTAAAGTGCTACATACTCCTGTTTTTTCTCTTTCATTTAAGATACCCTTTCATCTCTGATGACGTTTTGGTCTGCAAGTAAAGTAAATTTGGTTTGCTGATAGCACCTAGATGTTCACCAGTTCCCCCTTGTTGACAGTCAGTTGTAGAGAGGCTCAGGACTGGAACAGTGGGTATGTCCCAGGTCAGAGAGGAGGAGTATTGGCAGAGCTCTTTACTATATACTATAGGTCTGTCTGAAGTCAGCTATCCGACTTCTTTTCATGAGATTAAATTCACTCACACCATTTTCAGCTTAAATAAAAATGATTCATTGAAAAGAAATATGATATGTAGCAAACACATAAAGAAAAGTAAGACTGTTTCATGCTGTGTAAAAATTGTGAGTCATACCACAATAGGTTTTTATAGACAAGTAATTTGTAGTGAAGAAGAAAAAAACACTAGCCTATGTCAGCTGAGAGTGGTTGTGCTATAAATTGTGTCTGGAACACAAGAATTCCAGATGCATGTGACATTGTATAAAATCCACCTTCATTGTAAGTTTTTAAGGAAAACAGATTCTCTATGGTAAAAGGCTCAGGTGTATAGTATCTTGGTTTCAAACTACATTAACTATATGGCTTATTTCCTAGCACTGATTCATCTCTGAATTATTTTCTACTCCATTACATTTTACTTTCTATTTTATTCCTTATGGATGTCATGCCCCATGACAATGTGTCCCTTCCATTCAGTCATCTGCTGCACAACTTTATTTCCAACTGCCATTCATTTATAGAACATAAAATGTTTTATTTACCTTCTGTGACTGTATGTAGACTAAAGGAATTAGAATAACAACTACAATTAGAGAAGGAAGAGGTGGCACAGAGGACACCTATAGCAAGGTCTCTATCCAAAAATGTTTAAACAGTTTTAAAATAGGCCCAGATTTTCAAGAATGGCCTCTAATTTTGAGTGCCTCTAGTTTGAGTGCCCAACTTGACATTTAGGATCTGATTTTTAGAAGTATCACAACTATTGAAATCAGTACCCAGCACCTCTTGAAAGTCAGCCTCTCTGAATGTCAAATAAGGCACCAAGAGGTAAAAATATACTAGGTCTTTAGTGTAGAATTTTCAGAAGTGCTTAAGGATTTGTCTACACTGGAAAAAAAGCCTCGCAACAGCTAGTCTCAGGGCCTGAGTCAACTCACTCACACTCATGAGTTGCATGGTCCAGGGATAAAAATAGTAATGTAAACATTCTCACCACTTGGGCTGGAGCCTGAACTCCGAGATCCACGCCACTTACTGGGTTTCGCCATGCAGGCTCTAGCCTGAACAGGAATGTCTGCACTGCCATTTTTAGGCCTGTAGCGTGAACCTCAGACAGTTGACTCAAGGTATAAGATTCACTGTTGTGGGAGGTTTTTTGCAATGTAGATGTACTCCAAGTCCCATTGACAGTCACTCTGAGGGTATGTCTACACTACCCCCCTAGTTCGAACTAGGGGGGGTAATGTAGTCATACGGAGTTGCAAATGAAGCCCGGGATTTGAATTTCCTGGGCTTCATTTGCATAAAGCCGGCTGGCGCCATTTTTAAATGCCGGCTAGGTCGGACCCCGTGCCGCACGGCTACATGCGCCACGGACTAGCTAGTTCGGGTTAGGCTTCCTAATCCGAACTAGCTGTACACCTCGTTCCACGGCCTAATCTGAACTAGCTAGTACGTGCCGCGTGTAGCCGCGCGGCACAGGGTCCGACCTAGCTGGCATTTAAAAATGGTGCTGGCTTTATGCAAATGAAGCCCAGGAAATTCAAATCCCGGGCTTCATTTGCAACTCCGTATGACTACATTACCCCCCCTAGTTCGAACTAGGGGGGTAGTGTAGACATACCCTTATACACTTTTGGCATGGCATCTGACTGGCAATGAGACTTAGGAGGCTAAGGGTATGTCTGAACAGCAATGTTATTTCGAAATAACTTAGTCCATGTCTACACAACAAGCAGTTATTTTAAACTAATGTTGAAATACTGTCAAGCTGGAGGGCTTCTTACTCTGACTCCTGTAACCCTCATTGTATGAGGAATAAGGGAAGTAGGAGGAAGAGTGCTCTATTTTGAAATAAGTGCTATGTAGATGCTCCCAATTTCAAAATAAGCTATTTTGAAATAAGCGATGCAATTGACGTAGCTTATTTCGAGTTATGCCTGCTGTGTAGACATATACCTACCTAGGTATTTTGAAAAAATAATATTGTAATGCTTTGAAATGATGAATATATGAATATTTCATTTGAAAAAGATATTTCTTTTGAAAGGTATGATACAGTTGGCAAAGGCTACCTTACACACCAAGAATTCCTACAGAAATTGGGGTTAGAGTTCGCACCCTCTGACACCGGACTAAGCAGACATATTGCAGAAGACAGTTATGCGACTTTAATGGAGCATTACAGTAATCAGCAAAAGAAGCACTGGGAGATGGAAGAGCAGCAGAAACAGCAAACTAAAGACCTCTATGTCAATGAGATTACAAAGCAGATCAAGTGAGTTATTTATCACTTAAGTGAATAGCTTTCATGCTGTGGGTATAGTTACTGAGGTAAAACATAATGCCACGCCTACAGACATGCCCTCACAAACATTCTCTGAAGACAAATCATACTAGATACTGGGGCAAATTTACACCCAGTGTAACTTCATTGATTTCAGTGTGGAGAAGTTTGACTCATTGAGATGTATAGGCAATTTTAAAATGTTCACCCTGACTGTATGTAATTCATTTAGTAGTATTTATAGCTCCAGTCCTAGGCAGTGCCTGAGATACTTTTGACATACATTTGGGGGGTAAAGCAAAGCTAGCTGTAAGCCACGCCTTCTTTGCAGTTCTCTGATCCAAGAGGTGGCTGGGGTCAGGCCTGTCACAGTAAAACTTAGCGTAGCCTCAGGACTGTTTCAACATTCAACCAGCTGTTTCTGACCCAAAGAGGCATTTCTGGTAGCTGGGATCAGTGGGACATGAGGACACCTTAGTCACACTCCTTTTCTGATTACCATTCTGGACACCTGTGGTCCTTCACATTCAGTTTGCTCTGTCTGAAAGCAGGCCATGCAACAGGAGTCAAACCCAGTCCCAGACCCCTGAACTCCTCAAGTTTTATGTAGGGCCAAAGAACGCTGTAAGCATCTCATGAGCCAGAGGTTGGAGTCATTGCTTTAAGAATGAAGTCTATAGTGTGAGTAGAGACAACTTAAGGCAGAACCGCCGATGCTCCACTTTATGAGAGCTGAGTACCAGGCCTATTCTACCATGTTGGTCAGCATTCGAAGGCATTTGAAAATGGGAGAGACCAGATCTAATGGCTACAGGATTTAGTGGTTCCAGTGGCTATGAAATCCAGCACAGATGGTATACAATGGTCCTGGCCCCTATCTCACTCCCTGAGGTCTGGGAAATGCATTCCTTCCATCTGTCCAAGCCTGGCCCAGGCTAGTTTAAACAGCCCATTGCTTTGGCTTTACACAAGTGTTGTGAATTTCATCCTAAATTCTTCGTAGCAGTTTTAGTTCCCTGTGATTAGACATAGTTAAACTGACAAGGACTCTGAGCATCTTAACATTCAGAATATAAGGCTAGATCTATAATTTTTTTGGTTTTGTTTTAACTCACAGGAACAAATACCCCAAATTAGAAACATACATCGAGCAGCAGCTCTCCAGCGCTTCAAGAGAAATACAAAACATTTGCAAGACAAGATTATTTTTTGGCAGCATAGCTGTATCCATAGTTTAAATTCTCATTTACTCAGTGCACATATTTACTGCTGCAAGTGGAATAATTACTGCTTGGAAACCATTAGTCAGTCCAAGAAATGATGAATGCCTCAATTTTCTAAAAATATGAATCTCAAAAGCTGTTTTGATTTTACATCTTCCTTTACTTTCATTTTGAAGGTTTAAGTGGAAGATAATAGTGATGATGAAGAGCTATCATTTAGCAGCATGGGTTGGAATGTAACTTACCCCTGTAAAGGATTCCAAAATAATGGTGCTGTTGTGATAGATTAAGGGCCTTATTGTGCCTTTAAAGCACAGCCTTTCATTTTGGGTAGTGTGGAGCCGCACTTCGCTATGGGGAAGGATTCCTCACTGAGCACCCTGTTGTTCTCGGGGGAGGGAATAGGCCATATTTGCCTAAAGAAACAATGAGAAATCCTGTGGCATCTTATAGACTAAGGGTATGTCTACACTACCTCCCTAGTTCGAACTAGGGTGGTAATGTAGGCAACCGGAGTTGCAAATGAAGCCCGGGATTTGAATTTCCCGGGCTTCATTTGCATAAAGCCGGGCGCCGCCATTTTTAAATGTCCGCTAGTGCGGACTCCGTGTCGCGTGTAGCCGCGCGGCACGGAGTCCGCACTAGCGGATATTTAAAAATGGCGGCGCCCGGCTTTATGCAAATGAAGCCCTGGAAATTCAAATCCCGGGCTTCATTTGCAACTCCGTATGACTACATTAACCACCCTAGTTCGAACTAGGGTGGTAGTGTAGACATACCCTAACAGATTTATTGGAGCATGAGCTTTCGTGGGTAAAGACCCACTTCATCAGACTTCTCATTGTTTGTGCAGATTCAGACTAACACGGCTGCCCCTCTGATACTTAAAAGATTCCCTGGTGCATCTAACTTGCTTTGCAGGCCAATCTGGAGAAGCAGACCATGCCACCTGCAATTGTGGCTTGCCTTAACATGTTGATAAACAAGGGGGGAAAGGGTTCTTTGTGCCCTACATCCATGCATCTGTATCAGAACCCACAGCATTCTGACACTACATGCCTTATCTGTGTTCCATAATCTAATCCGGTCATAATTCTCATTCATTATAAACCTCACAATAATTTGTAGTGACTCCCCCAGCCAGGTTAGGAGTTGCAGCAATAAGTTGTGGAGGCAGTAGTAAACTATGGACAGATTGGCGTTAAATGATCAAGAGAGAGAGAGTGAGGGGTGATGCCTGGGGCTCCAAAAGGTGTTCAAAAGATCCCTAACTTTACTAGGATAAAAATGACAATGTAAGTGGGAGTTGGGAGAAAAGAGTCTTGGGTCTGAATTAACTAATCTGTGAAGAAACAGATGATGATTTATATACCTGATAGCAGCTCTAATGACTTCATCCAAAACCTGTTGAAATCACTGGGAATTTTTCTACTGACTGCAGTCAGTTTTGGATTTGGCCCTAAAGTAGTGTAGTTCTTGCTCTGATATAATAATCCCAAATTCTTGCTCTGATATAATAATCCCAAGTCTTTCTGTTCTTGTTAAAGTTTTATCAGCTTAATATTGCAGAGGGCAATTTGCTGGAAATCACTTGTCAGAATAGCTATATTAAAGATTGCATATATATTTTTAGGGCTAAATTTTCAAAGATTTTGTATCTTTAATTATGTTCGGTCAAAAACAGGTAGTTAAACCATCAAGCTAATTGATTTACACATACAGCGGGGTAGTTTTAGCCCTGCAATTGTTTATGCAAATGTAAAAGTGGTTTTTGAAAATTAGATCTAATAATTTTCATGCTATTCTTTGGACAAATTATACCAAGTTAACAAATGCAGGTAAACTGAGATTCTTGCTTTGCATTTTATTTTTGTATATTTGTATATATCTTTTTCTAATATTTAACAGGAGAATGAAAACAAACATCTGCTCTCTTTCAGGGATAAATTTAGGGACTACTTCCAAGACTTCAACAAGGCCTTTTATAAACTGGATAAAAATAAAGATGGCTATATAACAGTAGATGACCTACATAGAATGCTGCAAGAATTCAACTATTATCTTGATGATGAACAGTTCAACAGTCTTTTAAACAGGTTTTTATGATTATAACATTGGTCTCTCTTTTATCTCAAGCCAATAAAGGACTTAAGCATACACTTATCTTTGAAAAAAATAAGTACAGTAGTCTTATTAAAGCCCATGCAACTACACACATGCTTAAAGGTGCCCATGTGCTGAAGAGCTATGCTCTGAGTGTTGTAACTTAAAGCCTTTTCAAATCAAGCTGATTATTTGAGGAAATTAAGCAGCTCTGAAAACAGGTCAATTTTAGTGGATTTTAAAACTTGTATTAAAATTATTAGTTTTATTTAATTAAACAAAAAGAGTGGGAGGAAACCTTGCAAAAACAGAAATTGAATCACATCAGGCTAAAAAGTATTAATTTTCAAATCCTACTGCTATGCAAAGGCATACATTGTGTTTTGCATCTTAATCTCATGAAGTAATATTGAGAAATAGAATCGCTTGTATAAGCTCTCTAGAACACAAGGGCCTAGTAAAAATGTCCATAGCTTTCTGCACATCATGGACCCTGGAAGTGGCATCCTATATAGCACTGGGTTATTGTCTCATAACAGTGTGAAACTAGTGAAAAAGATATTTGTAAAAAGAAATTACAAACTCTTTTCTCAGTTCACCTTTTGTTGAGTGATCAACTTTTTATGAATGGAATCCTTAATATGAATCTTCTGCTTGTTTCGTCTTCAAAGACCTCTTGATGATAAACACCTCCATTCATTGTAATTTTGTGCAGATTATTCCTTTCTAGATCCAAAATAGACTTTTCTAAATAATACAGAGTAGATTAGCATTTGCATTTGATTTTATTACTAAAATTTTAATACCAACTTGGCAATTTATTTCTCTGATGAAATGGTGTTGATTATTTCCCAGTATTGGAGCCAGCTTTACATTGGTAATATGTGGGAGTGCTGTGCAGCTGCAAGACACAAAATCAGGGCTCTTGAATGTATTTTTTCTCAGTAATGGATATTGGGTCTATGGTTAATTTCTGTACCAGCTTCTTTTTATAAAGCTTCCTTTTGTTTAACTGGCACTCTTCATTAATTAGACATTCTAGTAAGTGGACATTCTTGTGATTGGTAGCATAGGCAGCAGTCCTAAGTGACACTGTGAAAACAGATGACAAAAGTACAATGCAATAATTCACTTTCACGCAAAATATCAAAATCATCATGCTGGGTCAGACTATAGGGCAATCCATTCCGGCACTGGCAAGTTCTTGATGCTTCAGTGCATACTGTAGCCATCATACCCCTAGCTAAGTGTGCAGTGCTGAATGAAAAACCTCCCCTGGCTCCTGTAGTATGGAATTTGCTCACCTCTATCAAAACAAACAGGGTCTACAAATGTGATTACTCGTCATAAAATTATCTAGCCCTACTAAAACTCCTTGCACAGTCTCTGAGCCAGATCCATATCTCAATTACCCCATTGTAAATCTGGAATAATTCCAGCAGAGCCAAAGAATTACACCAGGTTAAGTGAGCAGAATCTCACTGATTGACTTTTGGTGTCAGTAAATTCCATAATATGGCTTCATTGAGTTTCCCCTGGGTTAGCTGACAGCAGAATTTGCCTTTTGATGCTATGATTTACTGTGGTAATGAATTCCACAAGTTAATCATACAAGTCTGAAGTCTTTTAGATTGTTTTACCTCTACTTGACATCATTTGATTGAATGTTCTTGTGTGATGGCTGCAGTGGAAGAAAGGGTTTTTACAGACTTGCATGATTCCATCCACTCCCCTCAACTCTTCTCCTTCCTGTTCTAAACAACCCTAATTTTTGCAGTTTCTCTACATATGTAAATCCCACCTTAGTTTTCATTTTATGTGGTGAAACATCCTTGAGTAAAAATGAATTTGGGTTTGTAACAAAGTCCTCTGCAAAAAGCCCTTAAAATCGTATGTTAGAACTCCTCTTTCCCCATGCTGATATTTGATGCAAAAAATTATTCACTGTTTATACCTGGAGCTATCTATATTTAGATGTGCAGCTCACTGAATTTCTTATATGACAGAGTACAAAACTTCATAGTCTCTGTGATATACCAGATATTACTCTTGGCAAACATATTGAAAAGGTTGAGAGGAGGTATGAAAGACTTCAGGCCAAATGCTCCAATATAATCTGACCATGAAAGGTTAGCAGCGAATTCAGCTTGTGGAGGGGCACTCTTCTCTGGTTGTAGATGACATCTGCTGGGCCAGGAGCATCACACTTCAAGTCAGAGTCAGTAGGTGCACCAAGGGAAGAGAAGGGCAATATATCAGAGGCATAGTGAAGGAAAACTTCATTGCTTTAGTTCTCCACATCCCTGAGAACTCACCAGTGGCTCAGGTTAGAGCAGCCATTACGTTGCTTATGTGGATACCAGAGCTGGGCTAATGCAGGATCAGACGTACAAAGTGCTCCATGATAGCCTGCCACCCTGTTGCCATGCAGAGCTCAAATGCAGGTGACAGTTGAGTTCTCCAGTTATAAGTTCAAGAAAAGCTTTGTATGGAAATTGATTTGGTTTCCTACCATATGACGAATAGAAGGCAGTTTACTCAGTAGTTACAGCAGGAAACTAGGAGTCAGAACTCTGGGCTCCATCCACAGCTGGCACACTGTAATTTTGGAGAAGTCACTTAGGCTATGTCTACATAGCAACTAGCAACAAGTTAGCATACTAAAATGTGGACTTTGCAGCTCAGGCTCTCGAGCACATCTAACCCCCGGTATCCAAGTTTGGATGGCTAGCCAGGGTCTTTGCTAGACCTTCAACACCCACCCTGCTATTTCTTAGTACTCTGAGTCTAGCTTGAACTGAGCTGGCACAAATCTGTATACCTAGGTTGGGAGGCTCCCTTCTACCAGCAGTGTAGACGTAGCTTAGGGTTTGATTTTCAGGGTTGTTGATCAGCCACAGTCCCCACGGAAGCCCATAGGAACTGTAGGAACGCAGTTTCCCTATGGGTAACATTGGGATAGTAAAACTTCATAGGACATTGTGTAATTTATTTGTACTTTAACAACACTTTTAGATCCTGGAATGAAAGGCACAATGCAAAGTACAAAATGTTCATACAATATCGATAGGGTCCTGACCCATACACGGGACTCCCAGGCAATACCACAACACAGCTTATAAAAATTAATTAGTAGCAGTTGTAGTAGTGATAATACTTTTTAATAAAATGTTGAAATACTGTTCTGCTTTTTCTCTTAGATTAGGAATCAGTATTCATGACAGCAAGCTCTCTTATTTTGATTTCCTGAGAGCGATTGATGATGGCAGAGCATCTAAATACCAGCAGAGACAAAAGCCTGCTGCACCACCTGCAAGCTTTGCAATGCTCAGCTTAGAAAAGACCCTAATTAAGATAAAAGAAATAGTCACATCTTCCTATGATTTGTTATACAAGGTAGGTTGCATGTGGACATAATACTTAATTTCATTTCTTTATGCTTGACTGGGGGGCTAGCCCAGCTGTCTACAAGCATTTCTGCAGGCTGTGTGGGGTTCCCCAATCCCAGGCCAGAAGGAGCAGGGATAACTATAAAAGTAGCATGCTCAACCTCATTAGAGAAAGAACTTTCTATAGCACCTTTGGTGGTTACATAAAGCCGCAACAAGTCACAGCAGCATATGGCTTTGTGAGGGCAGAGGTTGGTGTGTAAAAGGAGAAAACAGGATCCACAGAATTAATTAGGTTCATGTAAATTGTGAGTTAGACATATTTGTAGCAAAACTCTTCCAAATAACTGGGAGGAGAATGCACAGTCTTCCCAAGTTGTGAGTTATTACTCATAGGGAGTACATGATACTGTGGTGGAGCATTATGGTTTTGCCAACAAGAGTAGTGTAGGTCACTCCAGGGAGGCAGGGCTGAACGGTTGAAAAGAAAACTAGACTTAGAATCAAGAGTTCTCTTGACTCTGTGAAGTTTTGGACAAGTTACTTAACCTCATTGTGCCTCAGTTTTCCCATTTGTAAATTTGTGATAGTAATCATCATCCACTTTCATATAACATTTTGAGATTCTGTGGTTGAAAAGTGCTATTATTATTACTACTATTATTATTCCCAAATCTACCAAAAACCTGCAGCCAAACTAATTCTCGCAGAGTTCTTAATGTCCAATAGGATCGTGCTAGATTCATTCTTAAGCAACAGAAAGAACTATCAGACACACTTTGGAGGAAACATTGCTATCCCAAACCACAGCTGCATAGCCATGTGAACTGTAATGGACTCTGCTATATTGTGAGAGATGGCATATGCTTTTAAAGGGGACAGCAATGATCATGTCACAGAAGAGAAGTGAGATCCAATACAAAAAGGGTCACCGTTTTCTTAAAGTTTCAGTAGAAAGAGGGAAGGTTGAAAGTGTGACTCAATAAAGCCCAGCTAACTTTCCAAAAATATTAGACCATCTTCACAAAAAATCTACATCTTTAATAAAACACGAACATTAAAAAGTCTGAAAATAATGAAGGGCGACAGCAGAGTCCTAATTGCCATGTAACATTCCCCAATCACTTTTGCCTCACCTGACTTATCTTGCCCACCCCAACTTTATTTTTGCCCCTAAAACGTCTCATAAATATAAAGATCAAAATAAGTTGGGAATTTATAGAATGCCATTTGCTATTCAAGGGATCTATTTCCAATGTACTATAACATTAAAATGTATTACCACGTGACTTTACAAAAAAAAACAACCAACCAGATAAAACCCCCCAAAAACCCCAAACCCTGTGTGGTTTGCTAAGAAATACAGTAAAAAAAAATACCAGCTGTAAGGTCATTTTATGAAATTTTGTTAATAAAACTATTCTACTAAACCAAAACATCACAGCATGAAAGAGTATATGGAACTTTGACTGGGACTATATTGCTTTCAAATTAGTACAAAACGTTTACATCTGTAAAATCAATGTTTATGTATTCAACTGCATATTTCTATTGTAGAACAAAACAAGGGAAAAAAGATAAAGCTGGGTAAGTGATTGTTAGTTGGCTGGAGTGACAGTGGACATACCTTGCCCCACACATTGGCTGCCCTAGACTCTAGTATGCCTTCTCAGTGCACTTACTGTCTACCTCTTCTGGTCTTTTGCACTCTCTTCAGTGTTCCCTCCTGACCCAGAATTCAATCTAATATATTTCCTGTGGAAGTCTTTGGGAACCACCTTTCATGTACAAAAAAACTGGAACATCTGAGAAAATCCGGTGCCCATAAAATTGGGCAGCTCGCAGTGTGTACTGAGCACCCTTCCAGATTTTTCAGGACAGTTACCTTCAAAAAAAGCAATCAACCTAAGAAAGCCTGGGTGGATGGTAACTGTAATACAAAAGCAAGAATGTGGGAACCAAGATGAGAGATTATTTGCTCACATGTTGATCTTTACACCTCCGAGAGTTACTGAGAATGGAGATCTTTCCCACAAAGTACTTTGCAGGGGAGAGAATGGGGAAAAAACTCCAACATTAGCTCAACCAGTCAGAAGTTTCTATCTGCTAGGAAACAGGAAACAAACTGGTGTATACAGCTAGTCAGATTTTCTCTATGGGGGCACTTTATCTCAAATATTTGTTATCTTTTTTATTTGGCTGGCAGGAATTCATGTTAACCTGTACCTGGGTTGCATATTTGGACATTTAAGCAATCAAAGATATAACGTCTCTCTGCTCACACTAAATACTTGTTTTTCAAAGATTCTGTTGATTGGGGAAAAGTATTTATTAATACATAAAATATAAGATTGATTTTGAAACTTATTGATTTCAAGACAATAATAAGCTTTTCATTTCCAGTAGGGGCTTCAGTAAAATGGTTATAAATGACTTGCATTTCTTCATAGCTAAAATATCTGGAGATAAAGAGGCATACATATATCAAATATGGCTTTACCTATACAAATTAGCCATTCAATATCAGCCATGCTAAAAAGAAATCTCTTCTGATATATGCAAAATTTTTAAAGTAATTTTTTTGTTGGTTTTGTCAGGCATTTTCTCTCTTTGATAAAGAAGGCACTGGGGCAGTAACAGCACTGGAATTCCACCAGGTACTTGACCATTTCTGCTTCAAACTAACAGACAAACAGTTCAGGCACCTACTCAAGAAACTAAAGCTTTATGAAAATCATACAGTAGATTGGAAATTTTTCCTGAAAAACTGTGATCTCCTCTTAGAGGTAAGACTAGCTACAAGCTGTTTGTTTTAAAAATGAATGAATTCAATAAACATGCTAATTCTAAACAAATGGCCAGATGCAGCTTCTCCCTTAGAATATCTCTGGCAGTCAATGGGATGTTAGGAATTTCCATGGAGAAAATTATGAGTAAAGGCAAGTGAATATGATCTTTCATATAAGGAAGAACATTAATTAGCATTAGCAAATTATGACATTAATTCTGCAAGTTTCTTCATGGGAACACAGAGGTTTTCCAGAATAGGATAACTAGTAAGGATGATGAATTACAGAAAGATGACTGAAGAACAGGCTTATTTAATTCACTCTTTTTTCCCATGATTAATCCAATGTTTTGCCCTCAACAAATATCTTAAAATGGGAATGGTATGTATACATCACAAAGGGCTAAATTCAGAGGTGAGTTTCAAGTATAGAGGCGGCTTCAGTTGGTGAAATATGAAGCTTCTTCTGACACTCTCAATTAGTGTGTCACACAAATTTGGACTCCTTCTAGACCTGTGTTTCCCAATTTTATTTGGACACAGAACCCTTTTAAACTCTAAAGAATTTTGTGGAACCCCTAATAATAGTCACAAATGGAGCTGAAAAAGTAGACCACAAATAAGTAAAGATAATAATAAACAACTGCTAAACAGGGTCATGAGATCAACATTTAGTTTAATTGCACATATTTAAAAACAAAAATCACATTTAATATGTCCAAAACATAAAGCTAAAAAACTAATATGCATTATATTGGCAGTTTTCAATCCAAACAGTGTTTTATCTTCTTTTCTTGGCAAATTCTTTGTATATTTGGTTTAATACCAGAAAGTTGGATTTACATATCTGGCACAGCAGTCAGTCGATTTCTGTATTTCATTTTTGTTGCTGTGTAATTCAAGAACCCAGTTTCACACAAGTATGTGCTGGTGAAGGGTAACAACTAATGAATTGCATGTCTTGATAAAGCTGAATATTCTCGAGATAAGCCGCCTCAAAATATAATGAGAGAAACTGCTTTAAATTTTTGTATTAATTGGCCGTCTAAAGCGATTTCAATTAGTTTTCATAATCTTGCGTAGGAAAAACCAACTGGCTTTTCTGTTATACTTAATGGATTTTGAATCCAGTTATTGGTTGGAAAACACTTCATGATGTTTGTGTATAAATTGCGAAGATGATCTGCAGTGTCCTAGCCAGGAGGGAGGGTACAGGAGAGAGCTTGGGGCAGGGTGTCAGAGCAAGCTGGGAATGAGGGGTTTTGGCGGTGGGCGGGGGAGTGGGCAAGGGGGTTTTGGGTGTGGGGTCTGGGCATGGGGGAAAGCTTACCTGGCTTGGCACCCTGCTGCAGCAAGGAAAGCCTCTAGGCAGCATGCTGTCATTCCCCCAGCAGGGGGGCGGGAGAGGGAGCTCAGTCCCCCAACTCCATGCAGTGGGGACCCCAGCACTGCTGCAGCACCAGCTCAGGTTCCCTACTGGCAGGGCGGAGGAGCGGTGGTGAAGAAACCCTGACCTTCCTCACTAGACCAGACTCGGCTGCTTCCCCAGCAGAGTGAGGAGGGTTGTGGGGGAGAGAGAGCAGCAGTGCAAAGGGGGCAGCGAGCCCGAGCATGCCCCGGGGGGGGGAGGGGAGAAGAGCCCGAGCATGCCCCGGGGGCAGGGACAGAGCCCCAGCTGAGTTCTATGCAGCCCCTGCTGGGGTGCAGGCAGCAGTTTAAAAATACCGAGGTCTGGGAGCTGCTACTCAGTGCCTCGGACCTGGCCACCGCCCCCTCACAGCAGCAGCAGTTGCTGTAACAAGCTGTTGCCTGCACACGAGGAGCAGGAGGCTGCACGGCACCAGAGGCTCTATGTGACAGGGGCTGTCCTGCGAGATGCGGAGGGGGCCGCGCCATGCGTGGTGGTGGGGCAGCTGCAGTGTGTGGTGGAGCAGCCAGAGCCACGCACCACCATCAGCCTGCCCCCACTGGCAAAGCTCCAATGGGAGCTGCCTACACACTCTGAAGGGAGAGGCGGGGAGTGAACAGAATTTTCTCACGGAACCCTTAGTTTCACTTTGCGGAACCCCGGGGTTCCACGGAACACCATTTGGGAAACACTGCTCTAGACTTAAGATTCTCACATTTAATTGTGGCCCAGTTGTGTTATCTGACACTTACGCCCGCCATGGAACCCTGATGGGATTTAGATTTACACTCAGACCCACTTAACAGTTTGGAACCTCTCTGCCCTCCACCCGAATGTAGGAATTAACAAGGCCAGGTAAGAAATTCTACAAAAGTTTCCATTCTATTTAATTTACACATTCCTACACCTTTTTTCAGTCGATTTGCATGTTCTACCATAGACTCTCTTACACAATGATAAATGGGTGTTAAGTAAGTCTGAGTGCGAGGGAGGCTAAATTATGCCACCTTGGAGTTTACTTCTAAATTTGGCCAAGAGTATCAAAAACTATTTTTTCAGTTAATATAAGAGTCCGTAAAAATAAAATAACTTGCATCCTATGTCTTAAAAAGCAATGAATGTTTCATTTGCAAAATATATGCTTGCAGCCCAAATAAAATGGAAAAAAAAATTGTCATCCTATGGAAAACCATAAAAAAAGCCTTTTACGGTATTACCATGGCAATAATAGAATGTTGTACAAAACAAATCCATACAGAACTATATGGTAATTAGGTATTATGTCATAATATAGCAACTGAAAAGCCAATGAAATTTCTATTTCGTGTCTGTTTATATTCCAAATGAAAAAGTCTGTTAGGCATTAAAGAACAGCAGCATTTGTTTCTTTCTTAAGAGGAAGAAAAGGACTGCAATTTTCAAATGAAGGAGGACCCATAAATAGCTTCAAAATGTTTGTAATATGTATATGTCATTTACCAATATGAATATTTACATTCGCTGTAGGGTTTATTATAAGTGCAACTGTGTCCATAGTTTAATAGGATAGCTTGAAATAGTGTCTGTGAATTCAGCATTTACATTTATAATTTTGTGTCTATTGCTCTGTCACTAATAGCAGGAAAAGCCTAGTTAAGTCCAAGTAGAGTAAAAATAGTGTTAATTACAGCGCTTTAAATTAAAAAAAAAACTTTACATTTTCATCATATTAGTAAAATAATACCCTATCTAACATGATAGATTATCTGGGTTCTTAGATTTGATGCATTTGTGTTCATGTATGCATAGAATTAAAACACCTGATTCACAACTTTGTTAATCCAGATCCAATAACATATTAGTTTTATGAGTGTATTAGCATGCAGGAATAATCATCCCTGAGCAAGCTTTAACATTAGATAACTATTTTTGATACCTAGAGTTGTTTCTGGTATATCTTGATTTACCAAGGGTATGTCTACACTGTGCGCTTATTTTGGAATAAGCTATATTTATATTTCAAAATAGCTTATTTCAAAATAGCGCATCTACATAGCAAATGCCCACTGACATAGCACTGAGCTATTTTGAAATAGAGCGTCCACACTCGTCGGATGCTGAATCGCATTTAAGGCCACCTGGAAGCACTTCAGGCAGGGCATGAGGACAGCACTTAGTTCCTGGAGCTGCTGCCTGAGGCTGTCTCAGGCTTGTGCTTAAAGAGACCTCCCTGTATAGCCATGTCTCAGGGCTCTTCTCCTTTGCCTTCTACATTAAAGGACAGCAAACCCATCTCACTGTGTGCTCTGGTTGCCCTTGTGGACACCACAGCACTCAAGCTATGGTGCTGGACCTCCCTCCGAGCAGTTGACGGCTCTTACAACACATGCTGCACCTGCTGGTGAAGTTTCTGCAGGTTGCCCTCACTGGGCACCTCCTCTCCTCTCACCATGTGCTGCTCATGCAGCATGACTCCACCTGCCCTCCCCTGCACACCATTTATAGTTTCTGCAGGTTGCCACGACTGGACACCAGTTCCGATTGGTGGGAGCGAATTGTCATGGAGTGGTGGGACGATCAGTAGTGCCTCCAGAATTTCCGCCTGTGGAAGGACACCTTCATGGAGCTGTGTGAATGGCTCACTCCTGCCCTTACATGACAGGACACCCTCATGGACCTAGCATCTCCCTCCAAAAGAGGGTCGCCATCACTATTTGGAAGCTCGCCATGCTGGACAACTACCGTTCTGAGGGGAACCAGTTCGGCGTGGGGAGATCAACCATCAGGGCTATGCTCATGCAGGTATAACTCTCTCGTGCTATTGTCCCAGGGGGGCTGTGAACTGCTGGAATGGGGTACCCTAGGGAAGGGGGAGAGGTGGTGGTGGTGGTGGACGTGCCCTCCCTGGGAGGTTTTTCAGTCCCACCTTCACAAAGCCCTGCTGGGGATGGGGTAAGTAGGGGTTGCTCCTGGTGTGTGAGTGGGGGGAGGGGCAGGCAGGAGGGGGCAGGGACCTCCTTAGGGCTCTGGAAACTCTGTGATTCTCTGTTTCCTATAGGTGGTGAGGGCCATCAACACCATCCTGCTGTGCAGGGTCATCAGCCTAGGTGATGTGGACCCCATCATTGCTGGCTTTGCTGCTGTGGTGGGAAGGGAAGCCATTGACGGCACCCATATCCCCATCTGTGCACCAGGCATCTGAATACATCAACTGCAAGGGGTACTTTTCGATGGTCCTGCAAGCCCTTGTGGACCACCACGGTCAGTTCACAGACATCAACGTCAGCTGGTCGGAGAAGGCACACGACGCCCGTGTCTTCAGGAACTCCAGCCTGTTCCAGGAGCTGCATGCCAGCACTTTTTCCACGACTGCACCATCAGGTCGGGGACATGGACAATTCGATGTGCACTGTAGGAGGACACAGCCTACCCTCTCCTCTGCTTCCCCGGCTAATGAAGCTCTATACCCGACACCTTGACCAAATCAAGGGATGCTTCAAGGCTGTGGAGTGCGCCTTTGGTTGTCTGAAAGGTAGGTTCCATTGCCTCCTCACCTGGATGGACCTCGGTGAGTAGAACGTCCCCCAAGTGGTGGCTGCCTGCTGTGCCCT